TCTTGGCAGATGTCATGATGGTCAAGGCGTCATCCTCCAGGTCATGCCCGAAGATCCAGCTCTGCAGGTCAGGGGGCCGAGAGAGATTGAGATTGAATATACTTTTATCAATCGAACATATAAGATTATATAGGATTAGGATTATATAGAGAAAAAAAGGAAACTTAAATATTATTTTTATTAGACGAATCCAATTGATGGTTGTCTGGTTCGATGTTACATTCCACCCTGAAGTCGGACAGCGTTCTGCGTAGATCGAGAGAGAGAAAGAGAGAGAGAGAGAGAGAGAGATTGAAACTGATTTATTACAATGTCCATATAAGATTATATATTGTCAAACGGCTCAGCGGCTCCAACCACGAGAGGCCCCATGGGACGCCTGTCAATCATCCCTGGACTCCGGGGGTGGGGGCCACGGGTGTGAGGGGTTCTCGGAATCTGGTCGGCGGGGTGGCTGACGTCGCTCATTAGGATTATCTTTAACTTGGGGTAAGTTGTACCCTCTCTCTCTCCCTATAAATACCCCTTATAATAAATTAATTATTCCCAAAATTGCCCTTGCTTTATTTATCTCCGTGACAATATGGTTAATTACAAAATTGAATAAATACGAATATATAAGATTATATAATGATAAATATAGGAAAAATAGATATAAATAGATAAAGATAATTGATAAATATACACATATATAAAATATACAAGGTCTTCATTAGTGGCGCCCACCGCGGGAAAGAGAGAGAGAGAGACATTTAAACACTTTTATTGACATCTTGTCAATTAGGTTTTACAAAATAAATGAAGCATATTGGGAATATTTACAAAGATATATGAGTGAGGAAGACTCCACCATCTTGATAGAGTCCTCCTACAGACCAGGGTCTTCTTGGACCCTCCGCAACTCCAGGGCCAGAAAGTATTTGTAGATGCGGGTCTTTGTGAGAGAGATTGAGATTGAAACTACTTTATTTGAATGCTCATATATGTTTATATATGGTTGAATACAAAATTGAATAAATATGAATAAATAAGAGATAGAGGATAACAAGATATTTTCTCACAATGAGTTTCTTTTTATTACAAAACGCTAGCTTTCAAGCGATAATCGCTCTTCAACGGGCTTAATAAAACATCGACTATATCTTACAAGAATTTGATCATGAATAGAGGATTCATCCCCAGAGTTCTTCAAAAGCGGATGTGACGAAGAGAGGGTCGGGCGAGACTGCCGAGAGACCTCTGGCGTAGCTACACGGCCTGTGTTACGTCAGCGGACGGAATTAGCTCGCAGCAGACATGACTGTGAGCTACCAGTATGAAGTCGCCTCCTCCACGTCCGGGGGCTTCATCCGTCTACTGGTGCGTTGGCGGGGCTCCGTCTGGAAGCTGGTCTACCGTGAGATCATCGTCTTTGTCATTGGCTACTTCACCCTCACCTGTATCTACCGATATGCCCTCCACGACTCCGGCAAGAGGTATCTATATCTACCATTTTGTTGTTGTTCTCACTCTGTCTACAGTGTGAGGACACTAACAAACACAAACTTACATTGTACATTGTATTCATTCTTCTAACATGTTGAGCCATTTCTATATTCTCTTGAAGATCTACAAGAAGTTATATATCTTTCCCTGTTTTTGCTCATTGTGTCTACATTTGTGAAATCAGTAACAGAGTGATAAAAATGACTTTTATTTATTCATCTATGTCCTTCTGGAGATCTACAAGAAGTATTAATTCTTTGCTGTGCTAATTGCGTCTACATTGTAAGGACACTAACAAACACACACTGGCATTGTTCATTGCATTCATTCTTTTAACATATTGAGCTATTCTTTTAGCCTCACATGAGATCTACAAGAGGTAATATCCTTCGTTATGCTTGTTCATCGTGTCTACATTTGTGAAATCACTAACAGAGTGATAAAAGAGTGACATTTATTCATTAATTCAGCATTCAAAGGCAACTCGATGTCCTCATGGAGATCTACAAGAAGTATTAATTCTTCGCTGTGCTAATTGCGTCTACATTGTAAGGACACTAACAAACACAAACTGACATTGTGCATTGTATTCATTCTTTTAACATATTGAGTTATCCGTATAGCCTCACATGAGATCTAAAAGAGGTATATATCCTTCTCTGTTCTTGCTCATTGTATCTACATTTATGAAATCACTAACAGAGTGATAAAATGACTTTATTCATTCCTTAAGCATTCAAAGACAACTCGATGTCCTCCTGGAGATCTACAAGAAGTATTAATTCTTCGCTATGATGTGCTAACCGCGTCTACATTGTAAGGACACCAACAAACACAAACTGACATTGTGCATTGTATTCATTCTTTTAACATATTGAGTTATCCGTATAGCCTCACATGAGATCTACAAGAGGTATATATCCTTCTCTGTTCTTGCTCATTGTATCTACATTTATGAAATCACTAACAGAGTGATAAAATGACTCTTTTCATTTCCTAAGCATTCAAAATCGACGTCCTTTTGGAGATCTACAAAAAGTATTAATTCTTCGCTGTGCTAATTGCGTCTACAGTGTAAGGACACTAACAAACACAAACTAACATTTTACTTTTATTCATTCGTCAAGCATGTTAAGCCGTCCCTATATTCTCTTGAAGATCTACATAAGGGGTATAAATCCTTCGCTATAACATACGTATATGCTCATTTGGTCTACATTTGTAAAGAAATCAACGAACACAAAGTGACATGGTGCATTTTATTCATTCCTAAAGCATGGTAACCCCTCTCTATATATCCTCCTGGAGATCTACATAAGATATAAATCCTTCGCTATAATATGTATGTTCATTGGGTCTACATTTGTGGGGACACTAACATATACAAACAGACATAATGGCTATTATTCATTCCTTACGCATTTAAAGGCAATTCTATGTCTTCCTGGATATCTACAAGAAATATAAATCCAGCGTTATAATTTGCTCAACGCGTCTACATTTGTGATAGATACTAACAAACAGAACACGCCGACTTTTATTCACTACTCAAGCATGTTAAGTCATCCATATATCCTCTTGGAGATCTACAAAAGGTAAATATTTTCATTTTGTGTGTTAAATTCATCTACATCTGTAAATATATAAACATTTGAAAACAAAGTGGCATACAGATTTACACTCTTTCTTCTTTAAATAAAAAGGCATATATTGGATCAAAATATGCCTTTTTATTTAAAGATTTATTTATGGATTGCTCTATTTTCAAAACTCTTTCTTCTAGTATGATAGGACATTTTTATATCTTCCTGGATGTCTACAAGAGGTAGACAATTGTTCCTCTACACTACTTTGTCGTATTACGTCGTCTTCATTAGTGTAGATGCTAAATTACATATTGGTCTACACCAATCTCTAAATAACACTAAGATATTTCTATATTTCCCGGATGGTCTGACAGATATACACTACCTTAGTTTTTAAACACAAGGTAATAAGACCAAATCCAAATAAATAAATAATGTGTGACGTTTCGGTAACAGCGTTGTTACCATCTTCAGACAAAAGTACTGAATGAGACTGAATTGTCTCATTCAGTACTTTTGTCTGAAGATGGTAAAAACGCTGTTACCGAAACGTCACACATTATTTATTTATTTGGATTTGGTCTTATTACCTTGTGTTTATAATCTATAATCCAAATTGTACCTTATCTACCTTAGTTTTGATGTTTTTCGAGCATTTACAGTTGCAAAGTGTCCTTGTGAAGACATCCCTAGCATGGACATCATTGTTCTAACATGACACATAGGGTTACTCAGCACCGCAGCTAATCCTTACATGACATAGTGACTGATGCTAGTTCAGGATGGTTTGGAGACTTCACCATTATCTCTTTCTCCAGTCAAAATATTGAAAGAGGAACTTCATCCATACCTTTTTTACATTGCAGAAAGACTTATCTATAACCTATATATATATTTACATAAAACTTTGCAATTTGCGGAAGAACAATGCTCGAAAAGCATATTATATAGTTATCATTATACGTATTTCTACTGTCTTCAAAGTTTATATGCCCATAGTTAATTTATAATACCACATCTCCAAGAGTCTAGCTTTAGTATCAGTATAAAAGTATAATCGAAAAATGCAATATTATAGAGGTATGGTAGATTAAACTGGCGAAACCGCTGGGAGGGTTCACCATTGATGAGCTAGGCTCTCCTATTATTTAATCATTGCAGTAAGGACAGTATAAAATTGATTTATTTAAAAAATAATAATAACACAGGTCAAAAATAGTACAAATTTATCATATGTAAGAGAGTGCAACATATTCCTTTTAGGTTGTGTCTGGAATATCGGTGGACCGAGTGGAACAAACCGTTCAATTTTCGACAGTAACAACTTTTGGATCGAATCTCGAATTGAACACTTTTGTATTAAACCAAATTGCATCAATTATCTACACATGTAGAAAGCAGTTCGATTTATGTAGATACAAGTGTGACCTGCTTTTCACATGTGTAGACATATGGTGCACTTAGAGTAAAAGCAGTCGCCTTCTTCTACCCACCATGATTATCATGGCCTGTACCACGTGTACTAGGGATAAGAAAAAGAAAACAAGTGTGACAGAGCCCCCTTTTAGTTACTTGCACTCGCTGGTAAGGTTAAACATTTGCAAGAATCAGGGGCAATTAAAACAATTTTTATTTACCTCAGAAAAAAAGTGATTAATGCGGGATTCGATCCGGGAAATCAAATAAAACAAGAGGGTAAATAACAACTCGATAAACTGTACCTAGACTAGTATCTAGCTTTTATTCCTATGTTCATGGAAGCAGCCTGGAAGTCATAGTTACCCGAGATGTGCAGAAGACGAAAGTAAAGAATATAGAACAGCAAACAACACTCCTTGAGGAAAACACCTCATCTACTATTCTGTCTGTGTGAAGTTCACTGTGTGAAGTTCACGGATAGATTTTGGTCAGAATGGATAAAATAAAAAATGTGTCAAGGGATGGGAATCGAACCCACGACCTTCCGCTTACCGGGCAGATGCCATGACCACTAGGCCACATGACCACAATTTATAATTGTAACAAATAGTATTTGAATCAAAACATTCAATCGGGTAAAACACGGGCGTTGCCCGGATCATTCGGCTAGTACTGAATATTGGAAGCAGTCTGTAAGACCATAAAAAAAAAAAAAAAAAAAAAAAAACGACCCCAGGCGGAATCGAACCACCAACCTTTCGGTTAACAGCTAAATGCACTAATTGAGCGCAAAAGAGTCCAAAACAGCTCGTATGATCTTTGAACCCCCTTTTATATACAATCAAGTCTATGTTTGACCAATGAGAGAGCGTTGGAGATCAGTTCGCTTGAAACAAACAATCTTTCCAGCTAACAACTGGAAGGCTCAAAAATGTTTATCAAATATAATTATGGTAGATTAAACTGGCGAAACCGCTGGGAGGGTTGACCACTGATGAGTCAGGCCCTCCCATTATTTTTATCATTGTAGTAAGGACAGTGGAGTATTATTTTATTTCAAAAAGAAATATACGCGTCAGAAATAGTTCAAATTTCTTATAACAGATGGCGTGCTAATGTATATTTTAATTGGCCGAAAAGTTGATATTTATTCCGATAGATGGCGCAAGCCATCAGCAACTTTTAGTTGCACGATAAGAAGATGCCTTTTTAATTTTATTAATTTATGAAACTTATCCAAGTACAATATCAAATTTGTTTAATTTTTTCAAAAAGATATCAATTAAAATTGTATACATTTTTTGGTAAAAAAAAAAAAAAAAGACGAGCCTGCCAGGATTCGAACCTGGAATCTTCTGATCCGTAGTCAGACGCGTTATCCGTTGCGCCACAGGCCCATGAAAACAGATTCCTTATTAACAATTATCAAGTTGATGATTATTTTCGAATTTACAAAATGCTCCAATGGCCACCGATTCTTGCAAAAGTCCAACCCCACCAGCGAATACAAGCAACCAAACTAGGCTTTAACACACTTGAAAAGTGCGAAAGTCGAACTGCGCTTTTCACATGTGTAGACACGCGGTGCACTTACAGTAAAAAAAAAACAATGGCCAACTTCTACCCACCATGATTATCATGGCCTGTACAACTTATATACTAGGAATAATAATAATTAAAAAAAGATATCCTAAAATCGAATAAATTATAATAACACAATAGTTACCTGCTGAAAATCATATGTAATTTTTTTATGCTTCTTTTTTTCCCATTTTACATATACAGTTAAACCTGTCTATAGCGCTCCCTCTAAATAGCGCCTTCCTCTCTATAGCGCCCGATTTTAAATACGTAGTACGATGCGATTTACATTAAAAGTGACCTGTCTATAGCACCCCCTCTCTATAGCACCCTATTTTGGTGAGTCCCAAGAGGGGGGGGGGGGGGGGGGGGGGGCGCTATAGACCGATTTAACTGTAGTTAAAAACTGTATCTACAGACCTTTTATACTCCTATGAATAAAAATTTGAAATATGGAAGGCATGACTCATTAATGGTGAACCCTTCCAGCGGTTTCGCCAGTTTAATCTCCAAACCGCTCTACTATTGTATTAGACTGATCGGTTCGGTTCCAAAATAACTTTACTAGATCCCACTCAAAAAGAACAACGTAGTTTATGATATTTACAACAATGAATAATATAGAAAGAGGGAATCATATATCGCCGCAACTCTTGAAGCAATAGAAACCATGAAGCACCCTAAACCATTAAACAAAAGTATAGAGTTGCCATCACAGTACGTTCCCCTTCTATCCTAAAAATCTTCAAAAAGCCATATAAAACAATAGCCATTCCATTTTTGTCTCCACTAAATTCTTTGAACTGTTTATAGTTGATTCTTTATATTTATTCAATTATGTAAATTCCTTTAAGATATTTTTGTACTATATTATATTTATTCAATTATGTAAATTCTTTTAAGATATTTTTGTACTATATTATATTTATTCAATTATGTAAATTCCTTTAAGATATTTTTGTACTATATTTGCATAGATTCTTCCTTAAAAACGATATATAATCTCTCTCTCGCTTGTCTTGTTTGTACAATATAGTTAGCTGAAGAAGGGCTTGCCCGAAAGCTTCCTTAATCGCGTTAATAAAAAGAGTTGCGGCGATATATGATCCCCTCTTTCTAAATTGTCAAAATCCGCAATCCGTTTACCATGAATGAATAATATAAGTGAAGGTTATTCACATATTAAAACAAAGTGTCCAATTCGGGATTCAATCCTGATTCCTGGCTGTCGGGAATCGAGGGTGTTAACCACTCGTCTACCGAATGTATTAGACTGCAAATTTCTTTTATATCCTGGAATTTGATATGGGATTCAGTAAATGGATGCTTAAGATAACTATGAACATATGCTTCTAGGACTGTAGAAATATATATAGATATATCTGAATTAGAGATATAGTGGATCGAGTAATGCTCTTCCACAAAGTATTTAACAATAGCTTCTTGTGAGTTAAATATTTGTTTTTTGACTCGTGCTTTAGATGTTGTACAAAATTTTAAATATCGCGTGAGAACGCCCTTGCAGCCTTAGAATAATTTCTAACGCTTTGCAAAATGTTTTGATTTGTGTTTGCTCCTGACGAGGACAAAAGATTTTTGTCGAAACGTCGAGATAATAGAAAGATTTACTGGCCGAAGTGTCTTTTATTTGAAGAACAATAGCTTCTGTTACATATCTATGATATAATGACATGTCTCAATTGATTTAAATCTCTTGGATACAAATTAAATAATACAATAGGTTTCTCTGGAGATGAATTTCTTTTTAATTTTATTAATGCTATCTTAAGCTTTCGGACATTTTTGCTCTTCCACATGAGTTTTATTCGTTTTTAAATACTCCTGTAGAAGGACAGAGATACCCGAAAGCTTTAGATTGTGTTAATAAAAATAAAAAGAAAATCAACAACAACAACAAAAAAGCCTTTATTTAGGGTCACTGACCCTATACAGGATTCACCAGAGGTATGCATAAGAACAAAGCAGTGAGACAAAGGAAATAACAATATAGACAGAGTAAAAAGAGAAAGAAAAAAAAACAAGAAAAGGAAAAAATAATAATAATAAGAAAGAGGGAAGCAAGAAATCAACACAAAAAGAGTAGCAGTAAGAAAGTGAGGAGTGAGTATCACTTGGCCTTCTTCTGAGATATGGACTTGTGGAAACCATAAAACGCCGTAGCAATATACTTATTCTGGGTCATATTGTCAATTATTGATGGAAGTGAAGCACAGAGTTGCCCAGTTTTGAGCATAAGGGTTCTTCTTTCTTCTTTCAGAGCAGAGCAAACAAAAATATAGTGAGTGATTTCAATAAAAAGAAAATAATTCCCAGAAACTTGTATTATTTAATATATAGCTGCTTGCGTTCGTTGCACGCGCGGTCGACCAGATCTTTCAAGGTCATTAATAGTGCCAGCCTTGTTGAACCTTTCAATGGTTCGATAAACAAATTGACGCGTAATATTCAAATTTTGTAAAAGTTTTAAAATGGATCAAGGACTTTGTCCTACCTTATGTAAGACTATTACAGCTATACGGTTTTCTTTAACACCCCAATCCATTATCAAAAAACACATATATTTCGATTTTTTTTCTAAACACGTGTGCACGAGATATTCAAATAAAAATTACTGTATTTTGAATACTTCATGCGGTCAAATTAAAATTTTAATCACTGATTTGGTTTGATGGGTTCCCGGTTTGGATAGTTGAAAAGGGAGGATACACGATGTATCTTATTAAAAGTTTCCTTACTTAAGTATATATATATATAGCAATTTAGGCCAACAACCCCATGTATATAACCCACAGCAAGACCTTAATGTTGTATAATAGCAGCACAGCTGTCAGTGATGCACTATCGGCATATGTCTTTACATCATCACATGTAATGCAATTTATGCAAACAGGATAAATAAAATAAATAAAAAAGAAAAGGGGGGAAAAACTCTGTAATTGATTAAGAGTTGAGCTAAAGCAAGGATCGAGCATATAATATTGTCAGAACAATGGTCTAAAGATGGAAACAGCCGCGACACTATTATACAATATTATCAGACAACCCATGAAATCGTTATTAAATTGGGCAATCTATAAAACACTGAAACACAGACACTCGCGGCAATGTATGTGGCCGGTAATTTATGGGAGACTTGATTATTAGTAACATTCCCTTCAAATAGGTAAGAAACATACAACATTTCATTTAAACAGTGGGAATAGCACCATAAGGCAAATTATGTATGAAATAGGTAACAGAGGAAACAAGAAAATTTCTCTAGACATTTATTTAAAATATCTTAAAATTTGGGAACATGTCTATACTGACGAGATATGCTATTTACATAGTAAAATTTAGATAGAGGTGACCTGAAGTTACTTTATAGCCCTTTAAGGCCCATGCGAAATCTAGGTTGGCTACTACACAAAAAGGGGGGGAAACCTAGATCTCCATCTATTCTAGCGGGACAAAATATACGAACCCTAACACTCCTTTTTAAGTCACTTAAAGCCCTTTAGGGCCCATTCAGAATCTAAATAGATTAGCTTCTGTTCGAAAAAAAAAAAAAAAAAAGGGGGGCTAAGCCATAATGGCAAGGGGCTTACCTTCTCTCGAAAGCGGCGGCAAGGTCTGGTCTACGTCTCAGGCCCGACTAAAAATCGTCCTTCTCACTGAGCGACTCCGATCGAATCCCCTCTTTTGGCAAAGAACCTTCTTTTATATCATCCCTCTCTCCATTTTCATTCGCCGAAAGAAACCAATCAAAATGGCCAACGGCTCCAGTATCAATTTCGTAGACGCCCCAGGCCTCACCAAAATAGAACATATCGTATTACCAAAACAAAAAAAAAATCTCAAAAGAGAAACAACATGGCACTAGTGTAAGATTTCAGACTCCAGGCCTCTTCCATCAAAATAGAACATATAGTATTACCAAAACAAAAATCTAAAGAGAGTAACATCTACGGCGATAGTGTAAAATTTCAGACGCCAGCCCTCCCA